GGATCGACTCGTTTATTTGAACTCCGAAAGTGATGAGCTCAATTACTCACCATGTTCATCCTTCTTGTTCACTCAGTGGACGCCAAGATACCACTCGTCGATGCCGAAGAAATCGAATTCTATACCACCACTTCCCCCATCAAACCCTAACCCTAAAATCCACGAAATGAGAGTGGTCGTTCACCTCTATCGAGATGCCTACCAAAGCTCCCTACCCAACCCTAGCACTCACTCTACTTCCCTCTTTGTCGTCGTCGTGCCCAACTATCTCTCCACCTCCGATTTCATCCGATTTGTCAGCTTCCACCTCGAGAATGTCGCCTACCTTTTCCTCATCTGGTATCCTCGTTGCCCTTAGCAATTCTTTCATAGATGATTTTTTATCTCAATTTCATGAATTTTTACTTTTAAAAGAAAATTTTATCTTCGTATCATACTTTCGTTAATGATGTGTGTTTTGGAATATTAGGAATGATGGAATGGAAGATAGATATAGCGTATTAATCGAATTAGTTAACCAGTCGGAGGCTGATGCATTCTATTTTAGCTTGAACGGGAAGAGGTTTTCACCTTGCTTTACCTCCTAATGACTTCATATTGATCCTTTTGAGCTATAATTATGATTAATGAGTTGAATTTCTTTTAAGCTGAGTTATGTCGCATCCTCTTTATGCATTCCGTGGAATACACAGAATTGGCCGAGATTGCAAGCACACCTCCTGAAGGATTCGCTGCATTGCCTACTTGCCCCATTTGTCTCGGTTAGTGCTAATACAGAAATTATCCTATTTGATCTTGTGTGTGTATGTTGTCTTATATATTTATGTTATTAATTTCAGTTCTTTGTTTTTTGGTGTTTGATGACAGAGAGATTGGACCCGGATACTAGTGGGATAGTTAGTATGTTTTGTGACCATTCGTTTCAATGTTCTTGTCCATCAAAATGGACTTACTTGTCCTGTACAGTAAGCTAGTTCTCGGTTCCATGAAATTTGTACACTTTATATTGTATTCTTGTCAGTATCCTTCTATCATTATCCAGGAGAAGCTTACTTTATTTTTTGGTGGCGGTTACTACTATTGCATCTGCATCTATTTAGTTTAGGACTCGTCTTCGTTAAAATTGGTGTACAATTTTTTTCCATATGGAATAATGTTTTAATTAGCATCATTCTTGTTGGTAGGTCTGTCGGTTTTGCCAGCAGCAGGATGAAAATCCAGTCTGTTCTATTTGTGGATCTGGGGAATATCTTTGGATCTGCTTGATATGTGGTTTTATGGGGTGTGGAAGGTAATGCATTATCAGCTGTCCCTTTCTTATTGTGTTTAAACACAATAACATTATCTAAATGCAATTGTCACTTTATTTATGTTTTGAATTGTTTTTACATGAATTCATGGTCTTCTATGTTTCAATCCACTCTTTTGTGGCACTGCAGATATAAAGAGGGTCATGCCGTTAGACATTGGAAAGATACACAGCATTTATATTCCCTTGAGTTAATATCACAACAAATATGGGATTATGTGCGCGATGGTTATGTTCATCGATTAAATCATTCACGAGTTGATGGCAAACTGGTTGAGATGAACTCTCGTTGCACATCAATTGAAGGGACTTGTCGTTCCTGTGGCTATGGTGATGATTCTGGAATTAATGAGGTCATCTACAGCAGCAAAGTTGAAACTGTGTCAATCTTTCAATTTTAATAGGTTTCCTTGAACGAGTACAACAATCTCATTAGCGTTAACCGACTCAAATATGACTTTGGCTCCAATTATTGAATTTCTTGGAACAGCCTGTATAATGAAGTGTTGTAGATCAAATTATATCGTCATACTTTCTACTTCTTGTTTTGAAACTTTGTGTCTTTAGTGGTATATATGTAACAATCTAACAGCTGCCCTTTTCGTGTACATGTGCCGACCTTGACATAAGTTCCAAAGAAACAGGTTTTCGATGAGTACAGCCGACTTCTGGCTACTGAGTTAGAGAAACAAAGACAATTAAGAGAAAGACTCTGATGTTGTTTTAATTTAAGGATTTCTTTCTCTGTTCTTGTGTTCTTGTCCTACTGGTACTATTGTGATTTTTACGTATAAAGAACTATTATTCATATTCTGCTCTACTTCCCATCCAACAGAATTATGAATCTATGCTTGCGGAAGCCAAAAGCAAAAGAGAGAGTACCATTGCTGAAGCAGTGGAGAAGGCTGTGACATCCGAAATGCAGGACATCCAAAGTAATCTGGATAAGTGCACTGAGGAAAAAAATGCTCTTGCTGAGTTGTGTTTCAACATGTTCCGATATGCAGTTTCTGAATGTTGAACGTGCAAACCATTTGCATAGTCAGTTCTTTATGACATCATCATTATCAGTTGTACAATTTGTTGCATTTGTTACTATAGTTTCCTAATTGCAGGTCAATCGCAAACTCATAAAAGATCAACAAGTTTGGAGTGAAAAGGTCAAGGAAATGGAAGAGAGGTACTCTAATTTCTACCCTGGATCTATTAACATAATTATTATTTACATTTCTTGCCCAAAAAAGGGGAAACTGGCTACCGGTGCACATGCAACTCGTTTGTATTTACCTAAATATTTTTTAAATTGTTAATCTTTGTTTGCTTGCTTGTATTTTGCGTCACAAGTATTAGCTTGTGGCTTTTTCTCTAATTTTCTTTCTTGGCTTCCAGATCTTACATGATGTCTTTGTTTTTCATTTAGGGAAGCTTCTGAATCGAGGTTGATGGATGAGAAGATACTTGATCTAGAAGAGCAGGTATCTTAAGGAACTAAGTTTATATGTCTCTGCAATTGCTTGAGATTTTCCGGCTTTGACAGTAGTTTATCGTGACAGATACGTGATCTTAAGGTCTATATTGAAGCTCAGAAGACGCTTGTTGACGTGACAGATTCAGATTGTATCAGGGGAGGAACGGTCTTGCCTGTTCCGTCTACGCAATCTTCCTTCAGCTAACAGCAGGAGGCACAAGAAATCAGGTCGAAGACGGAATTAGGTAAATGTGATTACTCTGAGGAAAAAACACAATCATGGTTTCTTTTTTTTCTTTTTCTTTTTTGTATGGTTGATTAATGTGTAGATTCAGCAAAGGTTTCTGAAGATTTAGAGAAGTATTGGGAAAGAAGCACGATCAATTGCCAGTCTTTTAGCATGATAAAATTTTTGGCAACCGCAAAAATAATTTTGACAAATACTTTAGGCCTAATTCATTATTTCTTCCGGTATACGTTTTCTCTCCTCATTTTCATTTAAATTTATCTCCAAAAAAATTAAAAGGAAAAGTGGCCAATAAGAACATGACGTGGCAACTATAATTATTATTACTTTTCTTATACTTGCAATTGGTCATTAGTTTTTTCATTTAAGTCCTTGATAATCAAATTGGAGTCAAAGTTGTAGTCTATTGTCGATGACTTTGGGTGAAATTGACTGTTGTCCATGACTTGTAATTTCTTATTACAAGATATATTGTCCTTAAAACGTCGATTGTAGGATCAGTTGGTTGTATGATATAAATATATATATGTAGTATTTTATTACACAATGTAAAATTCTTTTAGTTTTATACATATTTAGGACTGTTGGATAATTGAAAACAGATAGATGAGAATAAAAGTAGAAAATATGAAGATATTTATTGGGGAAAAAACAAAGTCAATTTCAGCCATCTATTTGCGTATATATATGTATATATCTTATTTCATCTTGTAAAAATGGATTGATATTTAATGTCTTGTTTAGGAGAAAGTTTTGGGAGTTTATTTAAATATGAAGGATAAATTCCCGAGTAAAATGATAGATCTCTTAATAATCAAGTTGACTCGTGATATCAATTCATTTATAGATTTAATAAATAATATATATATATATATATATTATTTTTAATAAACAAATAACTATTAGTCATTCTTTTATAATAGACTCGAAAAATTGAACATGAAGAAACATTCTTTTGAGAAGATGAACAATATATCTTGAAATTAGACTCATCCAAATATTGTCGAAGGAGATTGAAGCATTATATCATTGAACCTAATTTTCATTAATTTTGAGCATGTTATGTGAAAAATCAACCTGAAGGGAATAAAAGAGAGTGAAATGCAAACAAAGGAAACGATGAGATGGTTTTGAAAAATTATTTTTTGTGTGTTTAATTTTATAAGTTTTAAAGGGGTTTTGAAAAATCGAAATTGATAAAGTGACATATAATGAGATTTTAGAATGATAGTCAAAGACGTTGGATAATTGTAATTTTCAATGGTAATTTTTTTTTTTTTGGAAAATTCTGTGAACTTCATTAGAAACTGCTTCCAAGTCCTAACAAATGAAAAAGAGTACCCAAAATATATTAAATTAATGGTAGATAAAAATAAATAAAAGTCCTCTAATTTTGATGAAGATGATGATATAGAAAAAAAAATTTCACGTCATTATCAAAATTGATACATATAGTCTAATGCTTTAATTAAACCCAAAAATAAAGTTCAATACTTATATTGAAACGTTTCAAGGTTAAATACTAAAACTGGTATAAAATCAAATTTTTAATAAATATGTAATTTACCCTTCTAATTATTATTCCCCGCAAATTCGAGCTTATATGGACATGAACTTGCAAATTTCATTATCTTGATTCAATTACAAAAATTTTGATTTGAATGTTAAGACATCCAAATTATTTTACTTTCGTGAATAACATTTAGATTCAAATATTAAATCGTTTTATTTTTCTAAAATCTACTTAAAATATTTTATACTTACAACATGAGAATGTTTAAAAAACGTCAAAATGTATTTTTTATTTTTTTTAAACATATTGCTTAGATACACTGACCAACATAATTCTGATCAACTAGAGAAATTGGCGACATTAAACAATTTAACAGTTTCTGAAAAGCTAAATAATAAACATACAGAACACTTGCCATTATTAAAACCAACGCCACATTTCATCCCTCATTTCCCCTTTCCATGTCTATATATGTATATATAGTCAGCACCTTCTCCACTCACCAACTCCTAAATTTACAAACAATCCTCAACAAATAATGGAATCAATGAAACACTATGCCTTTGCCGCCTCGTGCCCGGCTTCCACTCGAAAATCACATTAACGTAATTCTGATCAACTATACCATTCGGGGCGGTCCAGGATAGCTTCGGGAGAGATCGTACTGTGTAAACCACTTGTTCATGGACTGGTCACCGTTGGGGTGGCTCTGAGCCATTTGGAGCAGATGTGCAACTTGGTCCGGCGCCATTTTCAACTGGAGGAGAGGTGCCCCATTTACCTTCGGACTCCAAAGGCTCGATGACGTGGACTCCACCGTCTGTTAGTCCCAAAGCGAATTGATTTGGGTCCGATGGATGAGCCGCAAGGACAAGTGGATAAACTTTCATGCTATTGGAAGAGGCATTGTTAGAAACGTCAAAGAATGACTTGTCTCATTGGGGGTCTAACTGATTCTATAAATAGAAATGAAAACAAAAACACCTTGGGTTGGGAGGTAAATATGCGGCTGAACGTATTTGACATCTCAATCTTAATGTCGAAGCAGTGAGAACGCCCACACCTCCATCTTCAAAGCTCACGTATATGGATTGGCCGTCACAGGAGTACGTCGCATGTGTGATGGCACCACTTGCTTCTCGAGGGACCCACTGTTCGAGAAAATAAATTCGAAATCATATTACAAACCTTAGAAGAATCCCTGATCACTAGCAAACAGTACTGGCAGCAACAATTTCTAAAAACTCAAATTTGGCATTGCAGGGATACTTCTTACCACATATGCAAAGCAATTACCTACTAAAGTGCACTTGATTCAAACATAGATTTTAAGCAATGATTTTTAAAATATATATTATTTATAAATGCAGAAAAATAAGCCCAGAAACCTGCTTTAGACATTCTAGTTTCGATGCTTCAAATATGGATATCTGTGATTCATGAACTGCCAGCAAATGTGTCTGATCCAGATGAAATTGAACACGAGTATCTGCATGAGGAGACGGTGCTTGCCCGTTTGGGATTTGCAATAACCTGCATGCTTGTTTCTCCCATCCATCCATGCTCCAGAGACACAGCTGCAGGGAGAAAAGGATTCGAAATAATCAGCAGACGATAATGATCTAAACAAATACTAAGAATCATTATCAAAGGCATTACCACACAAGGTAACTCCTATGAAATTCTAGATATTTTTTTTAGAACTGAACAACAAAACATGTGAATTCATGTTTTCAGCAAGAAGCTTTTCCCATATATCCTTGACAAGATTTAACTTAAAATAATCCACTTGTTACTAACTTGAGCTTTTGACATATCACGTTTTTAGCGAGTCAGCCTTAAATGTATACAAGTTTCCGTGTCAAGAGTATTCAGTTATTTTAGTTTTCTCCAAGTGGGCTGTTGAACTGCTTTTAGGATAAGACAGGAATGCATGTGAGAACCACTTATTTTTCTTACCTGACTGTCGGCTCCTGACGAAACAAGCACATTTAGAGTATTAGAGAATGCAAGGCCTGTTATCCTTTTCTGATGACCTTTCAACTTTGTTTTCACCTGAAAAAATAGAGCACACAGTTAAACCAAATAATTTCGACTTATTTCTCAACATGCATCGAAGTTCTAAGTCAATTAAGGACCTCATCCACCCGAACATTGTAAATTTGGATTGATGAATCATCCATTCCTATGGCAATGATGTTATTGTCCTGAGGATGAAATGCAAGGAACGTAGCTGCGGGTGGTGGGGGCATGAATGTTGTCATCGTCTGCACATTAAGAAAGCACAAAGATACAAAATAAATGTAAAGAAAGCAATGAATTGTATTAAAAAAAATAGAACCACCCCCACCAAAAACAAAACAAAAAAGAATAACCTCGTCTTCGGTCAATTTCAATCTAAAAATCCAAATGAATACCCTCATTATTTAAACAAAGTTTAGCCAACAAGTTCTATACACATAAAACACCAGAGCTTCCCTAAAATTATAGATGTCCAAAAAATGAAATGACTAGAGAAAGGAGGTACCTTAAATGTCATCATATTGAATAGTGAAATTTTACCCCCGGAAGCTGACATGACATAGGAATCATTCTTTGAAAGTGCAAAGCATGGAACAACGTCTTCAGGATTTGTATCACCTATATCATTAGTCATCAATATTCCACTTGTCGGCTGCCATAATTGTGGCACAACACTAGTTGTGGCCTACAACAAGCAAAATCTTAGTTAATATTTAATTTACAATAATATTAAGGAGGGGAAACAATACAAAATCATTATGATACACAGTATGCAACCTAGTAAAGAGTTGTGTTAAAGAAATTTTAATACCTTCACAGTTAAGTTGCAATCATTCTTCTGCCATTTCCAAAGCTTGTGCACAGCATTAGATGCTAAAGCCAATATGGCAACTCCAGAATTTGTATATATTAGTCTAGAAATCTGACATCATACAGAAAATAAATGACTGACCTTGTCTTTAATTAAAAAAATATACATTATCATAATCTATTCAGAATAAAATCACAACCATGAATAATGAGAACTTCAAACTTTTATACAGATAAATTTAGTTCCCAATTGTTAATACAACCTGAAAAACATTACAGCTGTTTGCCATACGGTGAGTAGAGGATAAAATCTTAGTGAATTATTCTGGTCTCCAAATTCTATAGAAGTGCACAATTAGGGACTTAGGTTTACCCTCATAGCTGTCAAACTATCAGGAAGCCTTAAGGAGCGGCACTGCGATGGTTCATTTATTTCTGTAAGTTTCCAGATCCTAGATTTCTCCAGAGACTCATCTGCAATACTGGGCTTTATATCAGCCGCGCTTCTACCATCATTGATCTGAAGTGACCCAATTGTAAAAAGATTAGATCATAAATTGAACTCCATAAACATCAACATTCAAAAGATAGGTACATCCATGTAAATTTCTGCAAAAGCATTTAGGTTATGATTAAATAGTGACTCACCATTCCGACCATAGCAAATACTGATGAAGCCCGATAACCCAAGGTTGTTCCAATAGTTGCATTGTTGGGGCCAAATGTACCAACATTTGGAGCCTGTTACTTAAATGAGCCACTTAGAAAACATATTGTCATAAAAAATGTATGTATGTTAATGAATAGTTATATTTGGGACTTTTACCTTTACTATACCAGCAGGAGCAACTCTATAAGCATCAAATGAACGATTCTCCACTGTCCGTAGCAACCTAACGCCATCTGAATTTGCTAGGACTTTAACCCCGTTGACATCAGTTGAAACAGCTAGCAATGTTCCTTCCTTGTTAAATCTAATGCAAGGGGAAGGCTGCATGTTGTTATAACAAGTACAGTTAGTAGGTAGGAGTTAGTGTCAGACAGCCTTGCAGGAATAATGCAAATGCTTACGTACCGACAATCCACCATTTGCTGGAGTACTTGTTAATAAATTAAGATTGTCCATGTCCCAGAATTTGACAGTGAACTCATCACCAGCAGCTAAGAACCGATTCTTTGTGGTATCAAACTGAACAACTCCCACAGATCGCTTCCCAAGACCATAATACGTCCGCTTGATAGCTCCTTCACTTTCATTCCATTCCACTAAGAATGATTCCCCCTCTTTATTTGTGCCGCATGAGAACAGCCTATAAGTAGCCAATAAATTGGAAAGATAAGTACTACCACAATGAATAGAAAGATAGATAAGAACAACCTCAAAAGAAGAAAGACCAAAGTCCAAGAGTGGACATATGGCATAAGAACCTTGTTCCATCAGCACTGTATGCCATTGCTATGGAGGACTGGCCTGGTGCATTGTAGTCGACTCTTGAACCCATAGTATCATACAACCATGCCTTTATTTTCCCATCAGTTGCTGTTGAGAAAATGAACTGAAAGGGGGAATAAGACAGAAGAAAAGGAAAATTTTTAAGCATAACAGCAATAAAATATGAAATTTTTAGGACACCGACTGCTAATGATTAGAATGTGTAATTTAAAGATAACATTCACCAAAAAGGAAATAGAGAGTTTCTTAACTAATAAAGGGTCTTTAGAAAGGAGTTTTTAATTGTATGGTTGAAGGAAAGAATGCACTAAATCCTAAAATTGATTTTTCTATTACAAAATATCCCGTAATTTGAAATCTTTTCACCAATTTTGATTTCCACAGAATATTTATAATTAAAATATCTTTTATCTCTGGTATATCATTTAAATATATTTAATCGGGAGACGGTCTTTTTTTTTTGGGGGGGGGGAGGGGTTAAAACTAGCTTAATTTACACAGCAGATATCTTGCTGGAAGTCAAAAACAATATTTGTACAGTATTCCAGTTCCAGAACACTGTAAATGGAACAAGCAAAGAATAAAAATTAGCAAGAAAAGGTTAAAAAAAGACTCAGATTGAATATATATATTAAGTGTCCAATGGTTGTGGTTTAACATCAACTTTATAATTATTCAATACATCTGTTAAGATCTATGAACAAATAGGTCAAAACTTAAGAATGCAAGTTTTCTGACTGTTATATTGGCTCATTTTGTAACTAAAAAGGAAAAAATAATTAATATACCCCTTTTTACTCTGTTGAAATGGAAAATAAATCTAAACAAAGGGACAAAAGATTGCCAATCTCCATGCTGTTGTCTGTTACCTGAATATTTTCCTTGTGATGAGGACATATAGAATATACAGGTGCTTCATGACCCTCAAAAGTATACTGCTTAGCCCCAGTATTAGCATCCCAAACCTACAAAGATTGAACTGTTAAAAATGAATTCAAACAGATGAAGTAAGATAAAAGTAACAAGATGAAAGCAACCTTAATAACTCTGTCCTCTCCACATGTGACAATGCTCAACTGTTTGTTTGGATAAGAGAATGCAAGATCATTGACACTCCCTACATGAGCCTCAATCTAAGATAGAAAAGAATTCAATGAATGTGTTAGGAGACAGAAACGAAGATATCAGCTTAAAAATCCTTGCTGGACATAACTACATTGACTAGTCACACAAACCTCTAGGTGGTTCCGTAGATCATCACCACCATGGTAGGAGTATATGTGCACAATATGCTTGGAATAAGCAACACCTGAAAATAAGGAGAAAATCTCAAATCTAGTGTTTAATTAGATGAATTTACTTCCTTTGCATAATGGCAGACCATCAGAAATTCAATTGCTACAGCCCCAGGGAATTACCAAAAAGAGCTCCATCAGTGCTCCACATAACACGGTTAACTGCTACGGTATAATCATTCGCCAGAAATGCCTGATTGAGAATCAGAAGGTTAACATTTGTGACTGCTTCAAGTTCAACAAATCTTGTTAGTGGCGAAAGAATTCAAACCTGCAGAGGCACCGAGAATGATGACAGGTCCCACACCTTAAAATTTTTATGAGCTATTTTTTCACCACTGCCTACTTTCCAAACCATGATATCACCAGTGTTTGTTCCCACTGATATTATAAAACCAAATATGGAAAAAGAAAACAAATACACAAAATTAGAACACAACAACAAAGGGAAGCAAAAATCAGTTAATGAAAAGTTAATTTACAGAAAATTATTCTGAGCAGGAATGAAAATTTTTGTTCTTAGCTCACCAAGTAGTAGAATTTGTTGCACTGGATGGAAATCCATGCTCTTGACTGTAGACCCCTGACTTAGAGTCACAACAACAGTCTTAGGCAAGTCATCAGGAGAATAAGAACTTTGACCGTGACTCTGGCCGGCATATGGAGCGGGCAAAATATTTACAGGCAAATTATTGACCTGGAGGTGAAGCATAGCTGATTAGGTACCAATAATTTATATATACAGTTTCAATAAAAGCTGGATGGATGCTGCTATGCTACAAGATGAAGACCTGGTTACCAGCCAAAAGACTAACGGCAGAAAACAAAAACCTTAAGGTGAAAACAAAACAACTAAAACTCCAAAACTACATAAACTGTGAAGCACCATTTGCTTTTCTTTCAACTATATGGGAAAACAATATCAGGTTTAAACATTTGGAGAAAAATTCTTTATTTTATTATCCAACATGAGATAACCAGGGGAGCAACAAAATTTCAATTGCTAATTATTATACCTAGAAAAGGCCATAATATACAAATAAAATTTCAAAACGATTGAATTTTTTTCATTTAAATCACATTCTTCACATGATTTAATTAATATCCTCTAAACCTCAATATGAATGCATCACTAACATCTCATAGCAATACTTCGACATAAAAATAGAAATGTATATATTACATCAGCTAAATCTAACTAAAAACAATTACGTATATAGTATGATTAGCTTGACATACTTCATCTGGCATTCCAAAGGGCCTTGGTCTCTTCAAAACATGTTCAGAATCTGCTGACTGGTAGTCCAGAGCTGGGTTATTGATTGAAGGAGTTATAGGGCGTTTTAAGATTGCAGCTAGCATGAGAAACAAATATAGAAGGTAAAATAAGAATCCATCAAGATACGCATTTCACTAGAAAAAACATGTCTGACATCCTAAAATTTTTATGCAACGGTGAGTTCTCAGTGTATCATGGTTCTACATCTTAAATACATACTAGCAAAAAACATGGCTTTTCCTAACAGGTTTATGCATTATGTATCTCGTCAGAGGCAACACAAGTAATTCTAACATACAAATGAAGCTTTACAACATGCATATACACACCTGCATGATAAGTGTAGAACTTGGTAAAGAAGAAGCAATTTGAAGTTTGAACACAATTAACAGATTCTCTAAATAACTACCTGCATTATTAGGTGCAGCTAGTCCAATTGGTCCTGCAGAAGCTGCAGGGTGAGGCACAGGTGCTGGGTTAGCCATCCATCCAGCAAGAGAGATAGGAAGAGCAGTGGGTGTGGGCTGAAAAGGCTGTGCTTATATGCACAAGATGTCAAAAGAAATAAAAAAAATCCAGAAACAACGTAAAATTACTTGGGAGTTAGAACTTCTACAAACTTACACCATGAGCACCAAGTGGAGGAAAAATCCCTGCCTTTGGGATGGCACTCATTAAAGGATTAGTGACAGGGGATGGAGCTCGAGCACCGTTTGGTTGTCCACAACTGTGATCGACAAATAGTGTTTTGATGTCTGGATTAGACCTTGGATTCTTACAAAGCTGATGCTGCCAATTCAAACTGCATTATATTAACAAGAACAATTGTCAAGAAGCTCAAAGAGGAAGGGATTAATGAAGATTAGAATAAAAAAACAAGAATATAACCTTTGATTTATTAGTGTCCGCAGTCTTGAATTCTTCAAGGTAGGAAACTGAAGCTTATCGCGGAAAAGGGGGTTAGCCTCTATTAACTTTTTTAATTCTGCAAGCATTATACCTCTAGCAGATTTGGTATCCCCAAATTTAGACAGCTGCTCATTTTCTCTGCACATTAACATAAGCCATAAAATTGCATGTCCTAATGAATTACAGACACAAGGATGGCAAAATGCTGCCACAATGGACAAAGAATACACTGACATCAAAATCTCATTCATACCTAAAATTTTCCAACGTCAACAGATGTGTAATTTCCTTAAAAAGTTCCTCATTAAATGCTGAAAACACTTTCAAGTCCTTCACTAAAATTTCCACAGCTTTACCACGATCTCGCCTGCAGTAAAATAAAAAAAAAAAACAAAAGCAAATGAACTTTCAACATTTGCCCTTTTTCGGTAACTAATTTCACTCTCAACCTTGCACAAAATGCTAAAAAAAACCTAAACAACAGGATTAGATGACACTCTAAGCTTAACAGGGAAAAAATGCCCAGCTTACTTGTCAAGAGCTTCAAGGTATTTCTGTTTTCGAATCTCGAAAAAAATCTTCATGGAATATCTGTTATCATCAGCCTTTGTAAACCCCGAGAGATACTTCTCTACCTCATCCCACTCCCCATTTGTCACCATTTCCTCAAAATGACTAGAATTGAAATAAAACCCCGACTCCTGCTCCAATCTATTAAATTCAAATCCATTAACCAACAAATACAAAGCAGAAACAAATAAAATTCTATTTTTTTTAAAAAAAAAGTGCAAATATTAAAGCATACTTGTGAACAGTGTCTTTAAATTTCTCTTCATCAAGGAATTGAAGTATAAGGAACACGAGTTCTCTGCTGAGCGAGGACATGATTGGGATTCTGTAAAAACAAATCAACAAAAAGGGGAAAAAAGGCAAAGAGATATGAGCTTCTCATAGATTAATTACACTTAAAAAAACCAAAAATCCCTTAGAAATTAAGATCTCAACTCAAGAAATCCATCAACTCGAAACAATAATCCAAAAAATGATAACAAAAATATAGAAATTATAACAAAAATTACCAAATTCAATTTCACAGATCGGGAGAATTTCTTTGGAGAAAGCGGTCGTTTCACTGCTTTCTCTTTTAGCTGTTGCTTTCCTCTCTCTCTCTCTCTAATGTTATTTTGTTTGGTGTGTGTTTCTCTCTGTTTCTGGTTGAAGTATTTATACAAAGGATGACAGGGTTAGGGATTTGAAAGAAGAAAGAAAAAAAATACATGCAGACATGTTTAAATTAAATATCGCCATCAGAGCGAGACTATACGAGATGTCGTGAGGATAAAAAGTCAGAAACTCGATTGATAAGCACGTGTACCTGTAAAGTGATAGGATATCTGATAAGCACTTGACTTATAAGATGACATTAGTAGATTTAGCTTTTCTTGCCATTTATATAAACTTCTGTATCTAATTTTACATAATAATTAATTTTACAATTCTTTTACCCGTATAAAATTTGGAATTTAGGGGTATATTGGGTATAAAATTGACTTTAATACTTTTAATTGGATAATACATATGGCAGTTTTTATAATTATTTTTTTCACGAATGATATTTTTTTGTATTTCCGATTTTTAAGATTTTGTCGTGACTAATTCAGATCGATTTGAGTCGCACATTTGATTTTAGTGGGTGAGTCTCCCAACACGGATTTTCTGCATACACAATGACTCGAACTCGAAACTTACTTAAGTGATATCAAGTTTTTTATAACTTGAACCAACCCTATAAGTTATATTTTAATAATTCAATTATTAAAAATATATAATTATTTATTTTACATCAATATATTTCAATCATAAAATACATATTAGTAAAGATATCGTTTCGGGTCTACAATAATTAAAGGAATAAAATTAAAGTTATGAAAAATAAAGATACAGAAATAAACGATTAGAACATTAAAGCAAGTAAAACGTAAACACTAAAATTAAATAAAGAAAATAAAAATGTGTAAATTTAAAAGTGCATAAAATTAAATAATAGAAATAAAGTACAATAAAAATAAAATATTAGTATCGAATTTTATTATTTATCCTTGACTGTAAATAATGCGAGTCATACCCTGGGTCGGGTCGTCGCAAGGTCGTACATGGTTCGAACATAAAATAAATAAATAAAAGGTTAGCAATTAGTAATTAGCGGTTATAAAGGTTAGTTGTTAGAAAAGTTAGCGGTTAGTCATTAGTAGAGTCCGGACCATAATAATGTGAATCATACCCCAGATCGGGTCACCACAAGGTCGAATCAAATAATTCAAACAAATTAATAAAAATAAATAAAATAAAAAAGTTAGTGTTTAGCATAGTCTGAACCTTAATAATGTGGATCATACCCCGGATCGAGTCACCACAAGGTCAAATTGAATATTAGAAACAATAAATAAATAACTAACAATGGTTAGAGTGCAATAAAATAAAAGTTAGTAGTTAATATGCAATAAAACAAAAATTAGTAGTTAACTTGAAATAAATAACATAGCAGAATAGTGACCAAATTAAAAGTTAGTAAAATTTGCATGCACTTTCGAAATAAATAAACAAAAATAAGTGACCAGAATGCAAAAAGGGCTAAACTATAGGGGGCTTAAGGTGATTTCCCCCAATTGTGACCAAAACGTGAAACATGCTGAAACTGGGAGGACTTACAGGCGATTTACCCGCGAAATATGTGACTAAAGGTAAGAACAAATTAAAGGTCCAGGGACTTTAGTATAATTTACCCAAAAAACAAGATGAAGCTTTTCATCTCTACTGCCCCACGAATAGAATTCCTCCCAGGCAAAGCTAGGCCCACCCACCGCCCAATGGTGGCATTTCTCACGCCAGCTACCGGGCTAGAGACCAACAGACTCCGACCTCTCACAACCACGACCGGAAAAGACTCTAGACTGACCGGATGGAAACAAAACGATGACCGACCAACCTTAAACTTTCTATTTTCCAACCGTGAGTTCTCAAACTCCACAGCCACCGTTCGAACCACCCTAAACCAGCGACTACAACTACTCATACTCCTCTCCGACGTATGACGACCAACCATCGACCTCCTCGACAAACGACGATTGACCACCGACCAAGTCATCATCGCCATATTTGTGTTTAACTTAAAGAAAACAAGCATAAAAAGAGGGAGAAAAACATGAAGATCAAGGAGAAAGACTCCTTTTTTATTTGCTTTATGGTCTATAAAATTGGGGGTTGTTTACAAGCTTTTTGATTGGCTTTTAAAACCTCTAAAATTAAAAAATGTAAAAATACACATTTGGTCCCTACATTTTGTTCATTTTTTAATATTATGACAAAATTAGGGTATAACAACGATAATAAAACAAATTTATAAGTGTCTAAAGTGACCAGATATATAAAGAGAATGTGATAAAATGATAGTTGATAAACAATATAATTAGATTTACTTTATCATATACATCAATCGAATAAATCTTATAGTTAACAAACTAACATAATAGATTTAAAAGTATGATTAAATTGAGAGAATATGTAAATAACAAGGATCAAATATGTGATTATATCAAAATATTTAACTGTTGTTAATAGCAGTTAACTCGGGGTGACCATATTTTAATTAATTAAAAATGAAAATGACAATATCTTAATTAAATAGAAACGAAAGTAGTCATATCTTATGTTTTTTGAAATCTGTGACAAAAAGTGGATAAAACACAAAAATAATTGATCATCTGTGCAGTTAACCCAAATTAATTTTGAAGGATCAAAATAGAATTTCTCGAAACAAACAAAGTCGAACCCATTTGATATTAAGAAAACCCCGAATCATTGACAACCCACTCGATGAGCGGAAAATAAAGGAAAAATATAGCAAAATGTCGTTGAGAATTAAGATATATAGCAACGAGAAGAGAGATATTGTGTGATTTGTTTTTGTGCCTCGAATTCAAATCAGATTTTCTCGTGAGATGAGTTTTTGTATTTGTTTTCTCTCTCACATGAGACGCTCCGCATCATAAATTTGGTGTGGGTTCCGCTCCGCTGACAGAAACAGGTAGAAACTTTTACTTTCTTTTTAATTTATTTTTGGGTAAACTATACTATTGACAACTCAACTATTAGCTCTTTTTACTTTTTCCACAAATCTTTCAATTTTATCAATACGACCGCTTAACTATTTAATTGTATTCAATCAGACCACTAACCCTTGAAATTTAACGGGAATAGTGATGTGGTAGTTAAAACATTTGGTATAATTACACATCCAGTCATTGATACGTACATATTATATTAATTTGGTCCCAATTTTAATAAATTAAAATAAATTTTATCATCAAATCATATTAAGCCATGTGTCACATCCAATAGGAGGATTAATTATATTTTAATTTTTTTAATTCAATATATTTTCCCCCAATATATTTTATTTCAAAATATTATTCTTTTTTTATATATGAAAAATTGGATTGAATACAGTAAAAGCGATAACGAACTTTTCAATTCAATTTGTTTCATTAGTAAATATCAAGATTTGAACCATGATCTTTCTTAAAAGATCTAATATCTCATTCTATCAAACTAACTTGTTGTTGGTGGCTTGAAAGATGGTTGATATTATTTATTTTCTATTTTAAATGCAGAGAAAATAAGTGTATTACATATTTGTAAAAGTTTCCTAATCTATGAAGGGCACTAAAAATTTTTATAAGATGCTATTTTTTTAACTCTCATATTTTTTTGTTGGAGCATTTTATCTCTTTACGTTTCATTTTGAGTAAAAAAATATCGTTGTAAATATTGTTAGTCAACAAACACGCAATGCTCCAAAACAAGAGACCTTTTGTCCTAAATTGAAACATTAACGACCAAAATGCTCTAAAAATAAGAATTAAAGTAATTATTTTATATAAATTTTATGAACCTTTTTTGTCTAGAATAAAACGTCGACGGTTAAAATATTCAAAGAAAAATATGAGTCAAAATGATTATTTAGTTAAACGTTAAAAAGTATTTTTAACATTATATAAAGATTTTTTATACTACAATTTTACGGTTTTACCATCCCATTTATATTTTGATGATTAATTTTCACAAATGATTTTTTCTTTTTTAATATATATTTTTTAAACATCTTCCTCAATTTGAGGTCACTTAAATTAGTGATATCAAAATACACTTAAATCATATTTACCAAAAAATAAACTTACATCAAATTATAAAATAATATATATATTAATAATTTAGTTTTATTTATGCTAAAAGTAATTATCATCAGAGAGTATTAATTCCTTAAATTATGAATAGTTAATTTACTTTTACAATACAATTGTTTTTAACAACTTTAATTAATTTTGAATGGTTAATAAATAAAATAGTATTTTTAATTACTAAAAAATTAATTATTTTATTATAAAATAAATATCATTTACACCTAGATTCATGTATAAAAAATAGTAGAGTTTATAAAACTAGGGCCGGCTTACCTTTTTTAAGTGATTGACTAATTTTTCTAAGTAAACAAACGCTTATTTCAAAGGTATATTTTATTATAAAAGTGTTTTTAACGACCACTTGTGTCACTTTCAACTAAGGTTGTCGAGTAAATAAACTTTAGGTTCTATTCTTCTTCTTTCCACTTGCTTTAAAGTTTATTCTTCAAAATCCAATTTCATATTATTTTATTTTTCGTTTAATTATATACTCCTTGTAAATATACATATTTTGCACGTGGAAATTTTGTTTATTCTTAATAGGGTATTGAAATTATTAAACGACCCCGACCAGGTGCAGAACCATGACCATCTTTGCGAGTGTATTTCAAAGAGATAAATGGTTAGTTATAAAATATTATTAAGTTCTAATAAATAAAAATCAAATATTTAATTATATAATGAAAAGATAAGAGGAAAAATCATCTCATATATTTGGCATTAGATTATTTAAGGTTAAGTCAGGAGTTCGAATACTGAATTTTGTGAATAAAATAAATTAAATTGAATAATTATCTCATAGTTATAGTAGATCTCTACAAATTTGATTTAAAATAATTGATTATTAAAACATATACCAATAACAAAAACGAAAACACCTCGTAATAAGGTAACCAAAGCAAGAAGGAAGGAGCACGAACTAACTTACCTCTGTAGTTAAAGGAATTGTTATTGTTCCTAGAGGTCATGAGTTCGAGCACCAGCGGTTGCAGTAGGGTGATTAAGTATTCATTGTCAAATAATTGAAAGTATTTAGAACATATACTAATTTTTAATCACCTTATCTTAAAAAAAGAGTAAAAAACAAGAAGCGGGGAGGGTATGGGTAGATCTGTAATTTAGAATGGAATTAGAGACCACATATTATTATTATTTTGAAATTTTTCATAGACTGTCCCATCCAAATGCACAAGCCCACCCTCAAACTTAAAATTATATAAATATAATTATATTTTATGACACTGCTCATACGGGTTGAGGAGATATGATCGGTGGACGACATTGTTCATATGTGATGAGGACGTCTAGCCGTTTTTAAGGATACTCTGGAGAAAACATGATTCTTATGTGATGAGGAAGTCTGATTGCTTGAGGATAACGCTGCTCCTACGCGTTAAGGAGATCTGCTCAGTGGATGACATTGTTTTTACATGATAAGGACGTCTAGCCTTCTTAAGGGATACTTTGGAGACATTATGGTTCCTACGTGATGAGGAAGTCTGATTGCCTGAGGATGACACAACTCTTACACATTGAGGAGATCTGGTTGGTGGATGACATTGTTCCTACGTGATGATGATGTTTAACCTTCTTTAGGGATACTTTGGAGACAACACGGTTCCTACGTGATGAGAAAGTCTGATTGCCATAGGATGACGCTGCTCCTACGCGTTGACGAGATATGGTCGGTGGACGATATTGTTTCTACATGATGAGGACGTCTAGTCGTCTTAAGGAATACTTTGAAAACAACACGGTTCCTACGTGATGAGGATGTCTAACCGTCTTTAGAGATACTTTGGAGACAACACGGTTCCTACGTGATAATTAAGTCTGATTGCCTGAGGATGAAGTTGCTCCTACGCGTTGAGGAGAACTGGCCGGTGGACAACATTATTCCTACGTGATAAGGCCGTCTAGTCGTCTTTAGGGATACTTTAGAGAGAACACGATTCCCACGTGATGAGGAAGTCTGATTGCCTGAGGATGACGTTGTTCCTACGCGTTGAGAAGATCTGGTCAGTGGACGACATTGTTCCTACGTGATGAGGATGTCTAGTCGTCTTTAGGGATACTTTGGAGACAACAGGATTTTTACATGACGAGGAAGTCTGATTGCCTGAGGATGACGCTGCTCCTACACGTTGAGGAGATCTAGTCGATGGATGACATTATTCTTACGTGATGAGGACGTTTATCTGTCTTTAGGGATAATTTGGAGAAAATACGGTTCTTAAGTGATGAGGAAGTTTGGTTGCCTGAGGATGACGCTGCTCTTACGCGTTGAGGAGATATAGTCAGTTGCCAACGATTGACTTGAAACGA